AACTGCATAGCAACAGCCTAAAACACTCAGAACACCCTAACAACTGCATATCAACGGGCTAAAACACTCAGACATCCTAGCAACTGCATAGCAACAGCCTAAAACAGTCAGAATATCTTAGAAACTGCATAGCAACAGCCTAAAACACTCAGAACACCCTAACAACTGCATATCAACGGGCTAAAACACTCAGACATCCTAGCAACTGCATAGCAACAGCCTAAAACAGTCAGAATATCTTAGAAACTGCATAGCAACAGCCTAAAACACTCAGAACACCCTAACAACTGCATATCAACGGGCTAAAACACTCAGACATCCTAGCAACTGCATAGCAACAGCCTAAAACAGTCAGCATATCTTAGAAACTGCATAGCAACAAACTAAAACAATCAGAACACCCTATAAACTGCATAACCACAGCCTGAAACACTCAGAACATCCTAGAAACGGCATAGCAACAATCTTAAGCAATCGCATCACCTTAGCAACTGCATAGCGACAGCCTAAAACGTTCAAAACACACTAACAACTACATAGTAACAGCTTAAAACACCCTAGCAACTGCATAGCAACAGCCTAAAACATTCCAAACATCCTAGCAACTGAATAGCAATATCTTAAATCACTTATGCAACCATAGAAACAACCTAAAACACTCCAAATACCTTTGCAACTGCATAGCAACAGCCTAAACACTCTCCTAGTAAGGAAAAGTGAATATCCCCCGGGTTCTTCACGTGTGCGTCTTTCTTGACCTTCTGCTCCATGTGTGCTTCTCTGAGAGCTGTGTTTTCGGAGGTCGCTCTAACCGTCTGAGGACTCGAGGGGAAAACTGACATTCATTACATTCAGTCGGATAATTGCAAAATATTGCCGATTATACACACGACATGACCTTATACTGTAGTGTCTGAATGCTGGTTTTCAGTGCAGAAGCTGCAGGTCTTTTATCTGATACTTTCCCTTTTTGCTTTTGTTTTCAGTATTGTTTTATAGGGTATCACAGTTTTTTTTTTTTTACCAGGGTTAAATTTGACTATTGCATCATTCCCATGTGTTTTACTCTAAATTAATGATCAGTATAGAAGATGCATCCTTTCACTTGATCTTTGATTCTTAATGTTCTATTGATCATTTATTTGTTTCATTGTATTTTTTAGGAACGTAGGTATCATTTGGTATGCTTTCAGAGCTTCAGAAGAGATTCTGAAGCACTTCTTTCACATTTTCATCTGAATCACTGATGATCAGTTCTTGTGCTTTGAGACGTGATGGTCACTTCATAGGGCACACTTCATAGTGCTTTACTGCATCTCCCTCTAGTGGAGAAACCACAGTCTATTCATTGAGTAATGATTTTGCAGAAATCTATTCGTTTTTTTTCACCAGGATGCATATTCAGTGTACTATAATGAGAATCTGGGTGAAATTAATTGTGCTTTTGTTTGTTTGTTTTTAAAAAGAATTATGCCCAAATTCACAATTATTAAATAAGAATAAGTCAAATAAAATGAAGTATAAAAATATAAAATAGCGAAATAAGTAACCTGTGGCTCCTACGCTGAAGTAAGTTTGGTGTAGAGTCATTTTTCACTCAGAAATCGCTAGTAAATTTCAGAAAGTAACATTGCATTAAATTTTACATTTTAAAGTAGAAGACTGAAAACTGAAATAGCGTTTCATTCAATATTATTTTAGTTAAATATTAAATACAATTATATAAAAATGAAAAATGAAATATAATTAAAATATATATTTAGTTATTTATTTGTTAGATTTATATTACAAATGAAATGTGCATACAAATATATAAAGTATTTAAATATATAAACATATTTTATATATCTTAATATTTATATGATAATATAAATATGATCTAATAATCTTTATTTTATCATCCTATTTAATGTGTTTTAATGTGTTTCACAGGTTATAACAGGAGATTGTGCCGCTCAGATCTGATTGTTCCCTATAAAGACGTGTGGATTCAGAAACTGTAACCTGTGGCTCCTATACTGAAGTACGTTTGGTGTAGAGTAATTTTTCACTCAGAAATCACTAGTAAATTTCAGAAAGTAACATTGCATTAAATTTTAAAGTAGAAGACTGAAAACTGAAATAGCGTTTCATTAAATATTATTTTAGTTAAATATTAAATACAATTATATAAAAATGAATAGTAAAATATAATTAAAATATATATTTAGTTATTTATTTGTTAGATTTATATTACAAATGAAATGTGCATACAAATATATAAAGTATTTAAATATATAAACATATTTTATATATCTTAATATTTATATGATAATATAAATATGATCTAATAATCTTTATTTTATCATCCTATTTAATGTGTTTTAATGTGTTTCACAGGTTATAACAGGAGATTGTGCCGCTCAGATCTGATTGTTCCCTATAAAGACGTGTGGATTCAGAAACTGTGAGTGAACTCTTTATCTAAATAACATCTTTAGGTTTTGGTCAAACTCAACAAATATTTCAGTGAGAGTTTGGGTGAAATGTGTTTAATCGTCATGAAATGTAATGTTTTCTTTGTTGAATTATGCCTCAGTCGGTTTATTTTATTCTCCGTCGTCTCTTTCTCTGTATTTTAGTTGCCGTTAGAGAAACGAGAGCTGCTGAAGTGCATTGTGGGAGTGTAAAGACGTGGAAAAACTGAACCAACCGCGTGATAAACTGAACAACGGGATGCCAGGAATGAGTGCGCAGGAAGCCAGCACGGTAAATACAGACAGATATATCAACACACTCGAGTAACGCTCACACGCGCACACACACACACAGACACACACACACACAC